CTTCTTGATTTTCTAAAGGCTGAAGTGGAGAGTGAAGAGAGGCTGGCGCTTGCTCGTTCGAGTTTTAAATCTGCCACTCCAGGAGACAATCATGGAAAATGCAGCAGCCCCAGTAAAATATCAACGGTACACGAACCTCGTCAGAGTCAACCTGATCAACCTGTAGCAGCTCTATTGACAACTGGTACAGAGGGTCCTAGAAGGTTGGTGAGTAGCTGCACTTATTGTTCTAAAGGAGGGCACAATGCTCAAGATTGTTCCTATTTTCAAAAATTAACTTTAGATGGAAGAAAGGAGCATCTGAAAAAGAAAAATTGCTGCTTTGTGTGCTTGAAGCAAGGTCACACAGCAAAAAAGTGCAAGGTGTTTGTTAAATGTCTCTTCTGTGGTAAAAGGCATTATGGGATCATGTGTAGGGACTTATATGAAAGTAGACCTCGATCTAAAATTGATGTTGACAAACCAGACTTACTGCAGCAGAGTACAACTAAGCCTAAGTCAGAGGTTCTCAGTAATTTTGGAAATGGTACAGGAGAAACTTTATTACAAACTCTATTAGTTAAGGTTGCAGACGAGAAAGGTAAAGAGTATTTGGGAAGAGTACTTTTAGATCCAGGTTCACAGAGGTCCTACATTACTAAGGACTGTGTCACTAAATTGGGTCTAAAAGAAACAGGTAGTGAAGTCATTAATCATAGTTTGTTTGGTGGGCTAAATCTAAAACAAAAATCTCATAAAAATTACCTAGTGACTCTTCAGAATTTAAATAACTCTTGCAAGATCTCTATTCCTGTGACAGATCAAGAAACAATTTGCAACCATGTACCTAGGCTTAAGAGTGAAGAGTATTTCGACATCTTGAAAGAAAAGAACATTATTTTAACTGATGTAGGTGAAAATGTACCAGATGTAAAAATGTTACTTGGTGCAGATGTATTAGTGGATTTGTATACAGGAACTATCCAGAGGATTGACGACAAATTAGTTGCTATTGAAACGTACCTTGGATGGACCGTGATGGGGAAACAACCACGCAGTGGAAGTCGTAATACGTCTCTTCTAACTTTATTTTGCCAGAGTAAACCAGAGTTCAGAGATCTAGGGAGCTGGGAGACAATCAGAAGAAGGGATCCTATTGGGGTGAAACAGAGAGACTCCATTGATGCAGAAGTGTTTCAACTTTTTAAAGAAAATGTAGCGGTGAACGTTGAAAACAGATATGAAGTCAATTTGTCATCAAGCAAAAAACTAAATACTCCTAACAAATTAAGTGACTGTGTTAAAGAAATTGTTTCAGATCCAGCAGAGTCGACAACGGTTCATCAATTGCTGCATCGCCCAGTGACAAAAGACAGTAGCTTAACTACAAAAATAAAGCCAGTGTTTGATTGGTCTACAAAGAACAAAAGAGGTAATTCTTTAGACAAATGTTTTGCAAGAGGTTCAAATTTCTTAAATTTAATACCATCCCGTGTAATGAAATTCAGGAAGCCGCTGGATTGGAAAACCATGAAACAGAAATTTGAAATCCATCAAGTAACTTGGAAGTTCGATCCTCCGAGTGTCCTATGGTGGGGAGATATGTGGAAACAACATGTGAGAAGGATGAAAACATCATCAAAGAGATCAAGATTTAAGAAAAGGTATCATGCAGTGCTTGTATATATTGAAAAAAAGGAAGAGGATTCATATTTCTTGACTCTATGAAAATAAATTCAAAAGACATGTCAAGGAAACAGGATGTACATATTGAAACAGAAGATAATTCATCAACTCCTACAGAAATAAGAAGAGGGAGGAAGATAAAAATCCCTAGGAAAATGGACTTGTGAACTTGAAACATGTAAATAGTTTTGTTTGAAATTTTGAAGAGGTAAAGCAAAATTCCAAGGTGGGGAGGATGTTGGAAATTGAGTTATTTTTATATAGTACAAATTCAATAATGATCAACATCAAATATAATAATTTGTTAGTCTTTGTTTTTATGAACAGATGGTTTATTTTAATTTATCTAAACAATTGAGAAGAGTTGTGGTAAGGATTTTAGAAAGTGATCAAGAACATAACAATTTAGTTAAAGAAAATGTTATGAAATATTTGTTATGTATCATAATAAAATCAGTTCTTTATTAGATAATATTTTGTAAAAGTTCTTTATTTCACACGAGTTCTAACAATGGGAGTTTAAAATTTACACTTTTTTACGATTAGTGTTTTGGCCTCTAGGAACAAAACGAAAAAGTATTTCGGTCCCGTCATACCGTGCCACCTACGGTAATAGCTACTTCCCTCAAGGGGAATTCGCTAAAACAAAATTACAGAACTATATTATTAGTTTAGCGCCAGTATCACCACCATAGTGATTTATTTTGTGTCTATGTTGAAACTAATTTACAATAATAACACAGGACTAATTAATTCAGTGCACGGGTTGTCTCAGAGCGAGTGCGTAGGGGGGGGGGGGTACTGGGGGGGGGGGGGTCGCGGAAGTAAATCCCTTCCAGTGACATAATATGGGCATTTACGTGAAAATTGTGTCATTCATCAAACAATGACACCATGTACAGCAATGACATCACAGAGAAGTTAACTTGCATCGAGTTTCTTTGTGTTTTACTACAATAAAAAATGTTTTAAAACAACAGTTTCTATTAGAACACTTACATAATGTAAATAAATTAACACATTGTGTTTAGAGCACTAACATTTTTGTCTGCACAGTAAATTCGCCTCAATAGCCATAGCCAAATTCTCAAGATTTAATTTACCGTTCAGGCAAAAAATATTTGGTATACTGAACCTACGATAGTCGCATTATACCTAGTTCACTGTTCTAGTTTACCGTAATATCTTGCCAGGAAAAGTTGTTGATACCTGGCAAGGTACGGTAGAAAATGTATTATGTAACATAATATAATGATCTTATCTACTATTCTATCAATAATATTCACTATAAAACCTCTAAATGGTTGGAAAGTATAGTTGATGCATTGTCACTTTATTGTTTCTTCTGTTCTGTAGACTCATCATAAGAACTAACATAGGTACTTTACTTCTTATTGTACATCTATATAAATAAAATTAGAGTTTTGTCTGTACATTGCTTAGAATAATGAACTTTTTGGTTATTTTTACATTTCATAGGTCAGAGAAACCGAATCAAACCTTATCTCAATTTCTGTCTGTCTGTCTGTCTGTCTGTCTGTCTGTCTATCTGTCATTCTCTTGGTAACGCTAAAATACGCACTTTATTACAACTACTCCTCAATAACTATAGCACTGTCCCGCCTGAAACTTATTTTCCAAATACTATACATATATGAGATGGTTTTAGACGTATTTCATCGAATATGAGACAGTTAGATATTTAACAGTAAACCCTTGAAAATCAAGTTTTTGTCGATTTTTGACGTGGAATTTCTGGAAGCCCATGTTAACCTTATGAGAAATGAAATTATTGAATCTTAACAGCTGTTTCAATTAAACAAGTTGGTTCTGTTCTGTGATGTTCAATAGCATTAAAGTTACAAGGATTACCAACAGGGTGCAGCACTAGCACTATTATTTCTTTTACATTTATGACAACAGCTAATTTGCAACCTGGAGGCGAGTGAGCGTAGCGAACGAGCTAACCTGAAGGCAAGTGAGCGTAGCGAACGAGCTAACCTGAAGGAAAGTGAGCGCAGCGAACGAGCTCCAACATACAGGTGAGTGAGCGTAGCGAACGAACTTCAACCAGGACGTGATTGAGCCATGCAAACGAGATCAGATAGTAAAAATAAAAGTAAGCCTACCGTTATAGGATCGACCGGCAGACACAGAGGTAATTTAACCTTTTATTGATTGTCATACCGATCCGGAACAACAAAAAACAACATAAAATGAAGCTATGTATAATAGTTTGGCCAGCATATCTTAAAATATGCAAACCAACTGCTGTTCTTTATATAAGAAGGTTTCAACTGAATATTATAAGATCCCCGTGCGTAGAACGGGTACACAGCTAGTCATCAATAAGAAAGGTCACCTGATCAATACAGGTTCTGTTTCTATTTGCTATAAATATACATATTGTGTAGTATTATCAAACTAAAAAAACTGCTGGTATATCCGAGTTCAAATAATTTCTAAGGAACAATGGAAATTTTAAAAAATACGATTGAAATTAATCATATCCAAACGAAATGCATCGGTACGAACATTGACATTGTATAGTCAATGGTACAAACCACAACCACGGTGTAGTCAAAATTAATCAAATAAAATAAACTTACAAAATAGGTATGACAAATAAAATGTAAAGTGATAACGATACAGCATAAACATATTTATGAAATATACAAAAATAAACAATTGTAACATCAATTTGAACCACTAAAAAAAGCCAATGAGATCGATAAAAACTATACAATTATTCAAAAATCTTCAAGAAACTCTCTAAACAAATCAACATTTGGAAGTTTCAATAAACTAATGCAAGATGATTGTGTTTAACAAACAAAAACCAACAGATAAAAATAAACGAATAGTTAAAAATATGAACCAATAAAAGAATATACAAATGTAACCAATACAGTGTTACGGTAACGATGAAAAGCTTAAACTAATTCAAGTAAATAAACTAATCTACAACAGATTATGGGTCTTTTTCACAATCTTTAGGTACTAAAATATACAACTATAATGGTACGGTATAGTTAAATAAATAGACGAACCGATAAATGTGATGGATGTAAACACTGCAATGCAACAAACTAGATACAAATTCATTAACGAATTTAACCAATATGAGCGGTAAGACGATGACGTTTTAAACTTACTTCAACTAACTAAAATACAAATGTACGTAAAATAATGATTCAAAAAATAAAAATGGCAATTGAGAACTCAGTTTATAAGCTAAGAACTTTATTTTCACTAATTAATAGAACTTCAGTTAACAAATAAGTCAATAATGGTAATAACCACAAGCACTAGCATAAATTACATACATAACTAACCTGCGGTCTTATATGAATCTACGGCCGGCGAGCGCATGAGAGCTACGCTGACATCCTTCGTAGACTGTAGACACTGATAGACTGATCTAAACAGTAGACACCGACCACTAGACTCACTAGACCCACAATGGACCGGAAGTGTTCATCTAGCCACCACCACTGACTGCCACCGTCATTTAGGCCTACAGCTACAGCTATAGCAAAGGGCAGATTTAGCGGCGTGGCTGAGTGGCTGACCCGTATTTGGATTTGGATTCAGAAAAAGATAAAGGGGAATGGCGACCACACGAGTATATTATGTATTATAATATAGCATTGGGAATTTCTCTTTGCATTAATTGAAAATAATTTATGTGACTTAACTGGGGCTACATTGAAAGTAACGTTTGGATAATGTACTTGCATTTATTTCTTAAAAAAATTAAGATTAAAAACTTATAAAGCTCTTCCCCTTAGAAACTTAGCTCATGGAGCCTAGACATTATTCTGGAATAGCTAATAAGGACAATTAATTACCATTGGTAAATAACATCCATCCATTGGTCCTTTTTGTATGAAATGAGGACATAATAGCAACCCGCTTCACATTGAAAGTTGATCATCGATCATTGATCAATGATAGACAAATGCAATAATTTGCCTAGTTGAAGTAGAGTGGGTAACAAAAACGACCTACATTTTTCAAATGGTCTCTGCTATACTTATATGGGTTTCTATTAGTTTACCCTTGCCTATTATATTATTATCAGTATTGTTAGTTCTTCCTAATATCATCAAATCCTTCAATGAACCCTTTCTCGTTTTATTTTTAAAAAGATATTTTTTAGATTACAAGGCACGGAAAATGCAACAGATAAATAAATAAATAATACAAATATTGGTTTTAACACGGGCAAAAAGGTTTTTTACCACAACCGAGAAAAATTTTAAATGCAGACAAGTAAGCATTGAAGTAAGCACACTTCCGCACCTTATGACTAAATTAACTAATGAACTCAGCAGCTTATTTTAGACTGTGCTGCGCGCCCTAATAATTCAGCAAGTGTGCATTTCTGATAAATGACACGCGGTATAAACTTGCACTGATTGACTGTGATTTCAACTGTCAAAACACTTTCTGCGGAAGGTTATTTGTGTACAAATATCTAGTGGCATATTATGTGACCACGTCACTCCACATCCTAACGGAATTGGTCAATGGATATCCATATACATTTTTTGTTGATTAAACAGGTTAAATGGACATCAATGCATCAATAAAAATAAGGTTAACTGAAATAAAGTTTGGAACAATTGCCTATATCAATATCATATAGTAATATATCAATAAATTTTCATTTGTTGTAGCAAAACTAACATTTATAGGAAAATTTTCAGCTAACTAATCTTTATGCCGTTGAAAAATAGTTATTTGGATATTTAAGACTTTGATTTTCGTGTTTGATATAAAACTGGCTCCAAAAGACCATATTTTTTTACTTTGCCTGAACCGTGTATATTATTTAGATATCTAGCGAAACCCTGAAAAGTCAGGTGTCGGGTCATCAACAAATCCTCAACAATTTGAGTGGTTTTGGACAGCTTTCCCCAAAGCATCTGATGACTCTGGATGAAAATAACCAACAAATTGTTAATACCTTCCAGTGTCAGTGAACGTTATGGAGTATGTTTAAAAAACACCGAAACAGTCCCGTCGGGTCGCGGTCCGGCGAACTTGTCGGTGAATAAATGACAATTGTCATTGGGTAATTGTCTAAAAAGGCATGTTTTGCCGCGCGTGTAACTGTCACGCCTTCCTACTGTGCGTGCAGTGTTTCGATGTTTCATTTGCTAAAACTACAGTTAATATTTTTAAGGAGTTTTACTTATTAATCCGTCTACTGTTTACACGAATGTTGAATATTATTGAATTAATAAATCTTTTAATCCCATACATAAAAAAAATGAAGAGGACAACAAACTAAACAACTCTACAATGTTTGGGCCAAGTTGTTGAAATACTAAAATTTTAAGCTTTCAATAATTGTGTTGTGAGTGTAAAATTAATTTATGAAACTTTACATTTTTTTCCTTATATTGGGCATTTTACGACTTGTATGCAGTATAGGTAAAAAATTATTCTAACAACTGAATTATTAGAGGTGTTCCAAATGCTATAACAATAGGCTATAAACGGTATCAGCAATCTGACACATAATTTTCTCCCGCATTAGCTTGTCGAAACCCTTGGGTAAGCGTGGGAGTAAATTTATGATAATTGAAAGGGTAAAGTCAGAAATACTGTAAGAACTTTTGAACCATAATTTTTTACTGTACTGTACCATTCTGTTTGGAGTTAAAAGGACCTAGGTACTACATTTTAATCAAAATGCAATTTTTGTAGAAATTAATTTTTTGTTATATTTGCTGGTTTTCACTTTTTCCCCCTACGCCCAAATTATATCTCAATTTTGTATTGTTTTATTGTACAGTAGTATTGTTATGGCCAAATGTTCGAGTTTTAGTGAAAATGTTCGTTTTGAGTTCATCTGAACCCATAAAAGTGGTTTTTGAACTGTGTGTTTTCTAAATTTAATATATTTTACTAATTATACTCTATAGCTAGGCTGAAGTAATGTGTAAAACAGTTTCGGGCTAGAGCGTCCTAATATGTGAAGGTGAGATCATAAAAAAACTCCTTTTAAATCTAAACAAAAATGTGCGAACCCAAAAAAATCTTGGTGTACAAATGTCGATTCACAATCATAAGTTAGACCTAATGCAATTTTTTTAATTTTCCCCATAAAATTTCACAGTCACTCCTACCACTTGCCTCTATGATAAGAGGTTGAGTCAAGATTGCTGATACCGGTTTTTTTAATTTGAAATCTTACAGCTGTGGCCATTAGTACCCAAAATTTCCATTTACTTGATTGGATTTACACAAAAATCTTCTAAAATATTAAAACGAAACAGGGTTTTTTTATTTCACGATTCTGAATCAACCACTCGACGGATTTTCATGATTTTTGTGTTGAAAGAAAGATAATGTTGAGAACTAGGGAATGTCGAAGCCATAATTTTAGTTTAGGGTGCCAGTTATTTATAAATTAAGTTTTATTTTTTGAAAAGTCTAGCAGCCGACGCTAAGATTCTAAACTAGCTTTTGGTGTAATATAGTTTGTTTAACATAACAGCTGTAAAAATTTAGCGTTTGTAACACAAATTCAGCATTTGGATAAAATTAAAAGATATACTAAGGGTTGACTTATTTATACTATGTGTAAGGCTAATCATTGATACGTTCAATCCTTCAATAAGAGGATGAGAGATTATTTGAATATACATAGGTAAAATACTAGGATGTTCGAAGGATTTTTTAAATAAATCTTTGTAATCTTCGGTTTGTTTTAGTGCAATATAATTTTCTTTTTAACTAACAGCTGGTTAAATATAAAAATGCTCTGTAGAACTATGAGGTTATTTTATTTACTCTGATTTGTCATTGATTTTTAGGAAATAAGTAATATTAGTAGACCACCGAGAAAAGTAACACCATCGATGTATAAAAGTCGAGGCTCTGTACACGAGTCTTAAAAAAGGATATGCAAATTATTATACTGCTCCACTTTATTAGGAAAGGGTAGGAAAATCCATTTTTACACGTTTTAATTCATCTTGGTTTGTTTACAATCAATGTTTTTGAATTATTAAACTTTGTTTGGATTAGGCCCGGAAATATTTATGGCATAAAGAAGGAGATCAAGAATCCCCAGGAATACAATTTTAAATTACCACCACAACCCAAACGGGTTTTATCCAAAGATATACAGATATGAATGACATAGATTGAGCACAACGTCATCATTGGCCTAGGATACTGCAATTAGACTAACCATCCTTTTATGAAAGCTAAAAAGTTGTTTGGCGTGTGTTTAGTTGTGGTTACGTTTGGAGGCGCTGAATATTTTATATTTTAAATAAATGAATATGGGGAATTACGGTGTACATTGATTCAATAAGGGTGGTTTAATTATTAAGGATATTAGAACTGATAACGGAATGGATAATAAACATAGACAATTAATTACGTCACTAGCTTTACTAGCGTGTTTTACGTTTTAAATTCCTTCAACATGTGACCAGTTCTTTTGTTCAAATGAATATTATTTTATTTTTGACTCATCTGTTTAAAAAAAACAAACTATATGTTGTTGTTTTTACTTTTCTTTGTTTACACTTATTTATTTAGCAATTGATGCAGTGAAATTGATATGAAGGATATGTGTGGACGATTAGTTTAATGATGTCAGGACACCAACGTTATAATTATGTGTACTGCGGATTTTATTGGATGTTTTCGTTTTATTGGGTGTTTCTATTCAGACCTACTGGAAATTGTGTATAGTATGAGTAATTGTATTGTGTAGATATTGATTATGGAAGAGGCAGGTATGCGATGGAATTGGAAGGTGATATCGTTGACTAGGCCTATACACTTTTTCAATTGATAATTACTCTTTCTACTGTAGGCTGCTATAAAATTTGTCTTTATACGTGTAAGCTAGCTGTTCTGATTCTTATACACAGTTTTAACTGACTACAGGACGGGCTAACACCTCGTATCTCCTTAAAAATATTACATTTATTTCCTACTTAAATAGCATTAGTTTAACGAGTACTTATAGATTTGCTGCATAAGGTAGTGTTTAAAAAGTGTTTTTGTGAAATTTTTATATTGTTTATGCTCATACTAAATTAAGTTATTTTCTACTATAAAGGATTAGCGGTTTCAGGACCCCATGGCTTAAAACATACTTTATTATTCTATGCCAGCACTATTAGGTTTGTTTTTTAATAAAATCCCAGAGAAGTATAAAAACATTTATTATCTTAGATAATATTAAGCACTAACATTTCAGTACAATATCAACATACAATATTTGTACTGTTTAAACAATAATATTTACACTTTACCCTTGTTTGAGACTTAAAATTTACATTTTATTCCAAATAGAATATGTCTTATCCCTTGTCAGGAGACTTTTTTGGCAAACACAAATCTACTTATGAAATTTCTTATTAATATTTACAAACGACAAATAAACATTTCAATATCTTTCGTTGTTCTGAGAGTTTCAGTTTTGCTTTAGTTTTTTGTTCAGTCCATCTTACAATTCTTTGACAACCAAAGCTGGGCACTTCATAGTGGAATCAATATATCGTCAGAACAGTTTAAAGCTGGTTCCTTCTTCCTGCTTGGTGGAAATGTCTCAGAAGAAATGCTTCTCACTTTAAGGCCCAGAAATTCTGGAGTGATACCTAAAATTTTGAAAAAATCAAACATTCATATCATAAAAATGTCTCAGAAGAAATGCTTCTCACTTTAAGGCCCAGAAATTCTGGAGTGATACCTAAAATTTTGAAAAAATCAAACATTCATATCATAAAAATGTCTCAGAAGAAATGCTTCTCACTTTAAGGCCCAGAAATTCTGGAGTGATACCTAAAATTTTGAAAAAATCAAACATTCATATCATAAAAATGTCTCAGAAGAAATGCTTCTCACTTTAAGGCCCAGAAATTCTGGAGTGATACCTAAAATTTTGAAAAAATCAAACATTCATATCATAAAAAATTTCATAACATCTATCTATGTTCTTCAACTAATAATCGTTAGCGACTGCGTCCTCCGTCTGCTCCAGGAGCAGTGGTCAGCGATAGACGATTCTGTCAAAATATACTAACCTGAAACAATGCAAAGCAGTGAGCAGCGATTGATGTCCTCAGAGGCCAAAAACATCATCTGTTGAATTTCATATGTAGCTTTAAATATATGTCCGTTAGCAGACACTTGTTGCCCGTGTGCTGAACTATATTTTTTGTCATATTGCATCATGAACTAACAAACTTAGCTATGAAACAAAAATACTTTTCTAAAAATAACCTCTTAAAACAACTTCTAGCTGGTTTTCAATTCTGCTTATGTAAATAAGCACCTGTTTAGTAAGTGATTCAATAATTTTGTCTAATAATATTGTGTTACTGTACATTATACTTGCCGAACTATTGACAAGAATGCAACAATAAGCTATAACCTTACCTTATAAATCAATTGATAAATAATTTTGATCCGTTTGAATGCTACAATTGAAAATTAAAACTGTTTACAACAGCTAATTTTTACTCCCAAGGGACTAAAAAGGCATTTTACTCTCTAGAGAGTAAAAATGTTAGGTACTTTAGTCTCGCAAATCATGTATGAAAAACACTGTTTTTGCTGCAGTATGAGGAAAAAGCAAATAATTAACACATTGAATATTGAAGTGTTGACGTGCGTGTACCAATTTGTAATTTCCGTGTTATTTTAATTGGAGGATAAGTATACTGTTGTAGTTTATTTGTAGATATATATTTTGATATAATTTTTCTCATTTATTTCATACAAAGCTCTTAATGTTTCACTCTAGCCTCTTCCCCTGTAGCAGCAAACCTAACTACTAAATAACCCAATTTTTTCAAATAGGGAATAGATCTGACAAGTTTAATGGAAATATTTTAGTGAAAAGCCAATCAGGCAAGTAGAGTTGCTTTAGTCTTCAGGTTTGCTACAGAAGGGTTTTTTTCATTTTATGTGTTGATGCCTGGCAATAAAATTAAAATATTAATGTCGCCATGAAATTATCTGAAGGTTATATACTTACTTGTGATCATGAAATGGTAGATGATGACCAAAAGGTAGGGAACCACTGAAGTGACGAAGTATAAGACAAAACCACATAGTTAATGTAAGAGAGGATAAGGCACAGTATTACAATGGTTGTATCTAGGAAAATGTTAAGGAATGACAAGTTTTCCAAATTTCAAAAGACAGTAAAACCTCTCATATCCTGGGCAGCGGTGTATCAGAGCATGGCATTACCACTCTTTTCCAAAGAACCTTCTAATTGATAGGCGACTCATATTTTTCCTATGACGACGGTGAGTGTTAATTAAGAGCAGTGGCCTACTGAGGGGGGGGGGCGATCCAAGATTTCGCCGCAATTGCAGGAGATGTTAACAATTTTGTATTAAAGGCAGGAGACGTGGAATATGTTCACTATTCCACCGTCGATCTCGGAAGATAACCACTGGCGACCGCGGGAGACAAATATGATGACCCCGCAAACACAGAAGACGCTCACGATTTTGTCATTAGAACAATATCGTAAAATTTTGCTGCGATTGCAGTAGTCGTTTGGATCAATTCTATACAAAGATATAATAGCCCTATTCTAAATTGAGTGACGATAAAAAACCTTAGGCCTATTTGTGTTAATTCTATCACTCTAAGAAGTGTGTTCCGAATCTCCAACTCATAAAAACGTAAAATCTTAAAGGAAAATTTAATTTATCTTCATTTTTTCTAAAATAACAAAAATAAATGTAAATAAATTGAATATAGTTGAAGTATCCGACATGCACCTAAAAAGCTCATCATTTAATCAGTGATACAAAATACATTTTTTAATAAATAGGTATGTGAAATGATAAGTACAATAGTGGGCCTACCCTAAATATAAAATGATTTTAAACAGGGTACACTACTATGGTATTTATTATGTCACGTAAAGATATATGTATGTAAATGTATGTGTATGTAAAAAGGGCCTCTTCATCTAAGCCACCCCAGGCCCCCAACTATGACCGTAGGCCTACAAAACTGATTTAAAGTGTTTCAAATTGACAAACAGAAATCCACGTCTGGCACTACAAAACAATGCACCTCCAGGGGTTTTCACACACATGTGTGACGGCCACAAAAATTTCCCATGGACCAATTACAAATGAGGTCTTTGCTACACCTTCAAATAAAACCCTGTCAAAACCATCACGAACAATTTTATTTTAAAATCTAAATATAAAAAGAGGGTCTGTAACAATGAACTTTAACCTTCAAGTTCTGCATTAGCGCCGTAGTCTCACCGGAGCCATGTTCTAGAAGTGTCACGGCACGTGCAAATTAGTCGCTGAACCAAATAACTGCGTAACTTTAAGCGTAAATTAAGTTTGTCTAACGCACGTAATCACCAGAAAGTAGTTCCACCTTACAGTGAGCCAAATGACGTCATGCGACATAGCCACAACGCTCATTGCCCAACGCCTCCCCATTGCTAGAGGTGGGTTGAGGATGGAGAGCTCAGCTGAAGTCAGTCCAAATTCTAAATTCGTTTCTGTCGGTCGTCTAAATTCCACATGAAATCTACCAATAAAATATTTAACTCAACGTTCTAAACTATTGTCGCGGATTTTAAGATTGTATATTTTTTATCTATAATTGGCATGTGGTTCCAATGGGAAATTGGATCAGGCCTAAACTAATAGTAAGTTAAAAGATTAGTTGTACCAGTAATGAATTATTTGTTTAGAGTTTGTTTTTTAGTTTCATTTGGCTACCTGCCACACATCCAGATAGGCGACCCTACATAAAGGTGAACAAGGTGGTGCCTGGGGCCCAGCACAGACGTATTTCAGGTATTAAGCGAGGTTATTTCTATTGATCTTTGCCTTTGACCCCGCAATCTCTAGGGCTGCCACTGCACACATGTAGGCCTTAAGTAATTTGTGTTGAAGAACTCTTTCCAACATTTAAGATCTTCCCTAGAAGATTTAAAGAATATTATCACTGTTAAACTGCCTTTAAAACATTGACTAACTTAAAACGTTTAGGTTTATAATCAATGATAAAAAAAGGATAATTTTTGTAGTAATGTTAGCTCTTGGAAGTTAGGCTTTGGACTGTTTAGAGGCCACTATACAATCCAATCAAAACATGTACGGTAACTTACCTTAACTTACCGGCACCTTGAAAAAGAGAAAAACACGTTTAAAAATAATACCCATTTAACTTATGGTAGTTATTTATGCTTTGGAATTTGATTGACTAAGGACCATTTGGACCAGACTTGGCCTTTATAAAATAATCTCTGGGATAATGATAACTTAGATTAGGCCTATCTTATACCATGCTAGCCTTAAGGAAATCTTGGTTAAAGCCACCTTAGTAGAAATCTTAGTTTAAAAGGTCTAAACTAAGTGATAAAAGGATACTAACAACAGCTCTTTCCCACCGTTCAACCATATACAATTCTGTAACCATCAAGTACCTAAAATACCAATAGTTTAAAAATTGCCAAATTTTTTTAAGAGTGTTAAACATTTTGGTTAGGCCTAACCCTATACAGGTTGAAAAGAATCGCTATTAATTATATTTTAAAATTAAATTTACCGGTGTGTTATTGAACACTAAGGTATAGAACAAAACTGTAAACAAAAAAGGAAGATAGTTACGAAAGAGTTTGGTTAACAAACACTAAACACATGCTCTAATCCTCTAATTGGTCTTTTATGACATCTGAACTCCTCCAACAAACAAAACACTACTACTAAACTGATCTGACGTTTATCAGCAGCCGGCAAGAGGGTGGTGAAAAAGAATGGGTCCCAGTCGAATTGTGTAACATGAAGCTTTTCAACATACGAACACAACTGTGAAAGTAGTTTCTATAATCAAAGCACAAAGCTTAATAATGTATTCTACTAATCAGCCAGCATCGAAAATCTGATAACATTTATTGTATTCGGCCACTTCGGCACGGAGCTCGTTGCAAGTTAAGGCTCGTTTCACATCTACCCGGCTTCTACCCGGCATGCCGTTAACCCGACTTCTAGCCGGCACCGGCACGAGTGCACCTTTCACATTACGCCGACACCGGCACTCCGGCAGTTGTACTCCAGCTTGTGAAACTTGTGTGTCGTAGGGATGGAAATAGAACGAAATAAGAATCGTTTTTTGGAAATAGAGCAATTGTAATGTTACTTTGAAATAACCTTTATTGCAACTGTATTTATATTTGGATTTTTTTTTTTAAATTAATTCTGTTTGAATTTGAGTGAAATGCAAATCAATGTTATGTAATAAAATAAAAAAATGAAAATGAAAATTGAGTAAAAATTCAGTTGAATTCAAATAATTCTGCTCTTGAACTAAATTGATAAGTAGTTCATGGTCTATTTCCGACATGACCAAAACTTTAAGAACAAATACCCAAAATTAATACAAATTAACAACAAACAACTGAACTAAAAGTACTTTTGGTGCACCCGACAGACGGCAGGTGCCGGTTGTATGTGAACAGTCACATTTGGCCGCTATACCCACTACTCCAGCCGGCCCGTTTAACCGACACCGGCAGCCGGCCTTCGCCGAGGGGGCACCCGGCATCCCTCGACTAGTACCCGGCAGCCGGGCAAGTGATTAACCGGTCACGACACATGCCGTGCATGTGTGAACGGTGCCATATACTTCTTTACCCCATTGCCGGTTAAACGACACCCGGCACCCGGCAGCCGGGTAGATGTGAAACAGGCCTAAAGGTTTGAAATGAGACGTAGGAATTGGCTAACTCAGGAACTCGCTAACTCGGTCGTGTGTCGGAACTGGCTAACCGTCCCAGTCAGGAATTGGCTTACTCCGGAACCCGCTAACTCGATTTTGTCTCGCGGCGGAATTCGCTAACTCTGGAAGGGTGCGATACCAGGGGTCGCTGAAGTCGCTAACCCGGCCGCGCCCACTGCTCGGATCGTTGCCAACCTTGTACGACAAAATAATCGTACACTGCCGTATTTCAAAATGTCAGTGTCTATAAAGATACAGTAAATGTAATTGTTTTTTGTTATCAATTCCACTTTTAACAGATAACTAGCCCAAAGTAATTAAAATACAATTAAAAGATCATGAAAAAGTGTTTTTTTTTATTAAACTGTACAATGGCCAGTTAAATGTTTATGATTTCGATCTTAAATAAATATGCCATCAGTATAAAATAAAATAATAGAATATGAAAAATATTCAAAATTTTGTTTAATTGGTACTAAATAATTAAACCTCTACGAAATTAAGCTAAAATACACGCAAGTTCGTAAACACGGAAAACAGATTTAATTGTAATGTCGTAATAAACCAAAACCATTAATTAATACAGTCATCAACCATCGTAACTTTCATAACTAATTCATAGATTTTAAATTAAATGTTAGTCGTTGAACCGTCCAACTTGTGTACAAATATGATGACATAGACTAAGTTTTTATCTAGGCCTAATAGTTTGAACCAAAGCATTGTGTAGGTCTACTAGTAAATAGTTGCCTAATTCTAAAATGTAAAGGATTTTTTAGCAATAATGTTACATGTTCTAAAACCGTTTTTAGATTGTACACCTAAGCACCACTAGTAAAAAATAGGAGAAGATATAATATTCATATATTAAAACGTGACAGGGTTATTTTAATTCACGATTCTTAATAAACGAATTGACGGATTTTCCTGATTTTAGTGTTGGGTTTCCTTTATATTGCTTTCACAATCGATATAAACTATACCAAGCCATTGCTCGGTTCACCGTTCCCCAGTACTAAGCTACACAATAGACAATAGCTTTCTTTTTGGATAAGATCAAGTAATTTTAGCTATGGCCACCATTCATAAGAATTGTAACAAACAAGAACGCCAGGGTACATTTAGAACCAGCCAGGAGAAAAACTCCAGACTTTTAAAAAGTAGGCCTACTGAAAGAAGTAAAATTAATATTAATTCAACAAAATTAAGAGGATGACCCGGGTTTTACACTAATAGCCTACGATAAAAGAAATTTACAAGTTGTATTTATGCATAGACTAACTTTTAATGCAATCCATGAATACATTAGGCCTACCACTTTATAATGTATTGATAAATATTTATTTAAATTCAATAGCTCTATTTAAAAATACATTACCACTACAATGTAATTATGTAATGACGTTTAACGATTAAATTTTATTATGATTTATGATTTAAGGTTACAAGCCCAGTATATAAAATACGAACTCAATAATTTTATTTGCAGAAGTTCACAAAATGGTATTTATTCGAATAAAAGAAACAAATGGCGGACTACGAAAATATGAGAATGAGAATTTTATTTGGTCTTTTAAACATCAGACAAGTCATATAATAATCATCTGGCAATAATCAGTTAGGCTAACAGTCCCAGTTAGTAAACTGGGTTGACTTAGCTTAAATCACACCATGCACAAAAACAGGCAAATATAATAAATAAATAAATAGTTAAATAATGGATAGATATTTCATAACATGTAATAGATCCAAATTAAATGTGCATTTTTATCTTTTTGCATACCAATAAGCTACTATTTAAGTAAGAAACGTACACATAAAACATACTCCCTTATATTAATATACATTTCTCAATAGAGATCGATGTCTCATCCTTATGGATCATCTATGAAGACAGTTGTATTGTTAGTTCTGTCCGGTGCACTGTCTTTAGAGGTCGTGTTTTGTTTACAATTGTATCTTGTTTTCAGTAATTTAAAACCTCGTCCAACCAAATAAAACGTTCTAATCACAACTAATAACACGTCCCTTGGTTATATAACCAAACAGTAAAGAGCAAATCATGAAGTTAACTATAAAATAATAGAAACACAATTTTGTCGACACTAGCGATCAGTGTCACCGGACTTGAACTAGACACGAAAAACGAGCTTCAAAGTTTACAATGGGTTGTAAAGTTTACTTGTGTTGGTTAGTCTATGGTAAGACTATAATACATTTTCCACCCTAATAATCATAAGAATAATGTTAAACATACTTCTAAATATATTTATTTTATCGACTACGTTGCTCTTACTCCTAATTAATCGTAGGATACGACATTATATGGTACCGATACGATATAGGTACTACACTTTCGGCAACACTGGCCAAAAATATTCGTGCTTGGCTCCCATTGGACGGCCCGCGAGGCTTCTGATTGGGAGTTAGCGAGTTCCGCCGAGGGACCGAGTTAGCGACTTCCGTACGAGGACTGAATTCGCTAACCCGGCTCTAGAGCGGGTTCCGGAGTTAGCCAAAACTATAGTTAATTATTTCTTTTAAGTTTTACAGTTTCCCACGGATTGGAATACGCAACCAAAATTAATTGGAATGGGTAGAATCATTGACTGGCAGAATGTAGCCATAGTGCGGAATGTTTGACCCCCAACTTGCCTTGTTACTATTAAGAAAAGCTTCATATCTCTTAGAATAATAAAAAATGGACTCAATGATAAAGTAAGTTATGAACCCCGGGTCCCTATCCAGTTAACAAACATTGTGTTCTTTTGGGATGCTGCATGAAGCTAAAAAGAAGTAATTCTTTAACCATACTGCATACTGTCTTGTATCATAGACAGCATAGAAATAACCAGTATACTATACGATAGGTACCACTATTAACAACTAACAAGTAGGGCCTAGACTTCTCATCCATTTTCTAAAATCTGAAGCTAGTTTTTTTATGTCTGGTTCATGTAATGGTGACAAACTGACAAATGAGCGCTTTTTAGTGAATTCCCTGAAGGGAAGTAGCAATTAGCTTTTTAATGGGGATTTTCCCATAAAACCCCATAAAATAACGGAAAAATCGGATTTTCCCAAAAATAACCCGAACGATTTTGATAAAAATTTTGTATGTTATACCCTAGTCCTTTATATTCGGAACAAAATGGGACAAATCCCATTTCTGTAAAAATTACGGTTCAAAAGTTATTGAAAATTATGTTATTTTCCCATAAAAGCCCCATATAACGGAAAAAATTGATTTTCTAAAAAATCAACAGAGTCCATGACTATAATTTAATAGAGGCTGTGAACTATCCTATTAATAAACATAGTTTGAAAAGGATACTTGCAATATATCTTTCCCATTTCTCGACAATGTAAAGTTCAGTAACCATGAGGTATCGAAAATACCAGTAACCTAAAAACCCACAGATCATTCTGAAAATTTTAAACATTCAAAAACACCAGACATCAACACTTGAGAATTGAGTACAGCAAAGGTGCTGCCAATGGTACTGCATTGAGCATTGCAGGAGCAGTATCTTATCTCTACTTAGATAAAAACTAACAGTGTGCACACAAACACACAGCGAATAATGTTTCAATCAAACCACACAATCTTTGTGTTTTTGCTTTGTTGCCCAACATTTAACTTGTCATAAACAAACAAACAAAAATGCCTGAGGGTATCTCTTAAGGACCATGGCAGTTTCAATATGCTTAGTTTAATTTTAAATGTATGAACTTTAGGCCTACACTAGCAATTATTAAAGAAAACCTAGCATATACTTTAATCCAATAATATAATACTTTTACTTTACTTTACGGTTCAAACATTCAAGAAAACCATGCCAAAATTTATGTAATATACACATAAATATTACATATAAAATTTTAATGTGGATTAGCAACAGCGGTGTAACTTATTGATTT